TGTGTGTGTGTGTGTGTGTGTGTGTGTGTGTGTGTGTGTGTGTGTGTTCCTGTGGTCCAGGTGCATATAGACATATGTTCAGGAAGTAGAAGTCAGAGATCAACCTGGATGGCATCCTCAGCAGGCTGTCTACCTCCTTTGAGACAGGGTCTCACACTGGCCTGAAGCTCATCAATTAGGCTACACTGGTTTGCTAGGAAGCCCCAGAGATCCTATCTGCTCCTCCCCAGTGGGATTACAAATGTGCACCACTATGCCAAGTGTTTTTACATGGACTGTAAGAATCAAACTCAGGTCCTCACGTTTGCAGGGCAAGTGCTTTATTGACTTTGCCATCCCTCCCTTTATTTAACAAATTTGGCTGTTATTTTGTATTTATAATAACAGAATAATGAAAAGGCAAAATTTATTCTCTAGTGATGGCATTCATGAAAAAATTGCCTAAGGCCTGAATTTTTTTTAAAAAAAAAATTTTAAGCAGGGCAATGGTGGCATATGCCTTGAATCTTAGCAGAGGCAGCTGGATCTTTGAGTTCAAGGCCAGCCTGATCTACATAGTGAGTTCCAGAAGGCTACACCAAGAAACCCTCTCTCAAAAAACTAAAGTAATTAATAATAATATTTTAAGTCTTTGAAAATTTACTTTTATTTTTTTATATGTATGGGTGTTTTTGCTTGCATGCATTTCTGTGAACATGCATGCTGTATCCACAAAGGCCAGAAGAGAGCATCAGATCCTCTGGGACTGGAGTTATAGACAGTTATAAACTTCCATGTGGGTACTGAACTCAGGTCCTCTGGAAGAGCAGTCAGTGCTCTTAACCACTGAGCCATCTCTCCAGCCCTGAAAATATCAATGTATTTTGATTATATTCACCCTAGCTCCTCCCAGATCCACACTTACCTCCCTTCCCACCAATTCCTCTCCCCCGATCTACTCTTTTAAAAACTGTTGAGTTTATGCTGTCCAAGTACTCTTGGATGTGGGCGTGGGTCCTGCTCTAGAGTGTGGTTGGCCTACCAGGGGCGACACAATTAAAGTAAGTTGACTCTCCATTTCCTAGCAGTTAATACCAATAGGCCCTCAACTCTCAGCTACTGGTGGGATTTGGGGCCCACTTTCTCCATGTTTGGATTTCATCTGACTTGAGTAAACACAGGTCTCCCACCCACTATTTCATGAAGATTGCTGATCTTCGGGGGGAGGGATGTGATCCAGATGTTCCACTTAGGGCTGAGCACCCTGCATCCTTAGTCTCTGCATGCTGACCAGTTGTGGGTTTCTGTGTTAATTGCTGTCTACCACAAGCAGCTTCTCTGATGACTACTAAGAGAAGCACTGATCTGTGAGTATATCAACATGTTACCAGGAGTTGTTTTAATACTATGTCTATTTGGCAGAATAATAAGTTCTCCCTGAAGGACCATGACTGGTCTAGCCTCAGGTTCTCGGCCTCATTGATGGTACCGGGTATGGGTCCCATCTTGTGGAGCATGCCTTAGATCCATTTAGAAAGTGGTTGGTTATTCCTGTAGTATCCATGCCAGTACTGCACCAGGGAGCCCATCCAGCCACAGTAGTCATTATTGTAGCTTTCAGGGTTCACAGCTGGGGACACTGATGAAACGCACAGCATCTGCCAGCACAATGAAAGCCAGTCAGTAGAGATGAAGCCTTCAGACCAGTGTCTATGACGCAAGTATGGTGTCACCCACACTGGGATCTTACAAGAGCACTGGCAACAGCCTGTTACATTGGGAAAGGTCGGTGGGACCCCATTTGTTAAGGCCTGTATATTTAAGTGATTTTAGTTTCATCAAAGAAGAGTGATTATTTTGGGATAAGGAGGGGAGGGGACGGATATGAGGGGAGCCATATATCTATAGAAATGTCCTATGCTAAGAAAGTAATTAAAAATAAACTGTATTATGAAAGATAAGTTTAAAGATTAAATACTGAATTCTCTCTAAATTTTGTATTTTATCTATTTGGATTCATGAGTTTAAAAAAGGCCTAGTTTTATAGTAAGTTTCATGACAAATGGGCCTAATTCTGCACACCCTCCCCTGCCACCACTACCCCTTATCACAAATAGTTAATAATACTTAGTTTCCTGGCGTTGTAGTAGCAATGAAGAGCTTCTGACCAGGATCTCTAGGAGTTTGAGGTCAGCCTGGTCTACATAGCAAGTCCCAGGTGAGCCAAGGCTACACAGAGAGACCCTGTCTCAAAAAAACAGAAGATTTTTTTTTTTTTATCAGGACTGGAAAGACAGCTCAGAGGACCTGAGTTCAATTCCCAGCACCCATATCAGGTGGTTCAAAACCTTCTGTAAGTCCAGCTCTAAGGGACTCAACCCTGTCTGGCCTCTCCAGGCCCCTGTCCTCACATGCACAAACCCACAAGCAGACACAGAGCTACATATAATTTTAAAAACAATAAAATGTCTTAAAAGCAAAGAGAATCTCTACCTCAAAGGCTCAAGTGCTGGTATTACAGACATGTATCACCAGCTTTAGAATTATTTTATATATCACCGTTCACAAGATTGAAAACGGGTGTATAGTTACTCATGATGTATACGAGGACAACTTCACTAAAAGAATCAGAAAAAAACAAAACTCTTGGTATTTTTTCACCTACCTCGCCCTCCTACCTAAAAACAAACTTCTCTGCTACTATTTACAAAAGCATTGGGTTAGTAAAGTGATGAAAAAAAAGGAGAAATATAAGGAAAATGTAAAGGTCCCAAAGCATCAAAGGAGGTTAGGTTGGAAAGGGAGAGGACTCTACTGGGCCCACAAGTAGATATCCACGCCCTATCCTTGCTAAAATACCAGGGTAGAGAAAAACTTAAATAAGTTAGTTGAATATATGGATCTTTTAGGAAGGCTGACCTTGAAGGACCTAACAACTAAGAAGTGGGTTTAGACACTGAGCATGTCAAAATAGCTATGCTTGACCGAGGCAAATTGGACAAAGCCTTCTCCAATTTCCCAATTATCCCATTGTTCTTGGAGGCCTTGGTCATAAAGGCCTGGCTTCAGGGCTTGCTGCTAACTTAGTGTGGGCAAGGTCTAGAGTTTGACCCCTAACACTGCCAAAAGAAAAAAGACGAAAGTTAATGTCATGGGTTATGCAGCCTTTTTATTGAAGTATCTATGACATTTTAATGTCTAAACAACAAAAAAATCATTATCATTTGTTTTTTCTAGAAAATAGATAGTGAAACTATAATAAATTTTTTTATAAAAGCAAATATATTGTGGATTTTCTTTTCCCCTTTATACTTTCAAGCTATATTATATATACCTTAGTATATATACTTATACAGACTTACCCAATGCACCCTTTTAAAATACTGCATTTAGTCTTTAATAATTTCATACATCTATATAATGTACTTTGATCATTTTTATCCCCTGCCCCCCTTTCGCATACTCCCCCTACTTTCTCTGGAACTCTTTTTCCCAACACACCCTCTGTTCATGTCTTCTCTCCCACTCCAGCTAATAACACAGTTTAATTAGTGTTGCTTATATACATCTGTGTTTATTTACCAGATCATGGGCAACTTATTAATAGCTATCTCTCTAAAGAAAAACGACTCCTCCTTCAGCATCCATTAACTGACAACAGCTCCCCAACTAAGGGTGGTAACTCAAGTGCCCCTCCCCTATCCACGTTAGAATGTCAAGGAGCTCAATCTTGTGCAGGTCTTGGGTAGGTAACCACAACTGCTATGGTTCATGAGCTCCAGAAGAAGGAGTTTCACAACACTCTCCCCATCCTCAGCCCTTGCATTCTTTCTGTTTGTTCTTCCACAACATCACTTGATTCGTGTGTGTGTGTGTGTGTGTGTTACAGATGGTCCATTTAGGACTGAGCATTGAACAGTCAACTATCCTCCATATTTTGAGCAGTTATACATCTCTGCATTAGCCACTATCCACTGTAAAAATTGAAGCATCTCTGACCAAGGTGGTGAACAGCCCTAATCTCTGCATATAAGCATAACTATTTAAAAGACAGTGTGATAGCATGTCCATCGTACGAAACATGAGTGAGTTCTTGTCTTAGAGCTTATGACCTCTCTGGCACGATGCAGAGGCTTCAAATCCAATCGTAACGTGGTTGGTTACCACCACAGCATTCACGCCACTCCTTATTAGAGGCATCTTGCCTGGAAGGCCAGTTTTTTGTCAGCAGGGTCCACGCAGATGTAGAAACAATTCTACCGGCTCAAGGAGAGGCCTGTTAAATGATGACATGACTGAAATATATTTAAACTGTGAAAAAGAAGACCCTAACCAGATCATCAGTTTAATCTGCATACACAGACAACCTCCCTTCCCCCATTTTAGTCCTACTGACTTGGAAGAGCTAACATCTGAAACCAGGCACAGTAATCCAAACAATTGGGAGGCTAAGGTAGGATCAAAAATTTGAGGCCAACTTGGGCTACAGAGATCCTGTCTCAAATAACAACAACAAACCCTACATACCACTTGCCAATTTTTGTTTTGGTATCAAAGCACAATATTTAAGCTGACAGAGAAGAGGTAGTATATTCCACACATTTCCAACCACAGGTTTGAGTGAGCCTGGTTTTCCTATTTTTCAAACATAAATTACAATAGATCAAATGTAGATTCCAACTATCTTCAATTGAGTGGATCATTTAAGACATCTGCAAAAACATAAAAACAATTCTATTTTTCTCATTAAAATTTTTTTGGAACATATAGTTATTTTGTTATATTAATACACAACAGCTTTTATGGGAGGTGGGAGTTGAGACAAGAATGCTGTGTAGCCCAAGCAGTCTGAAAATCATAATATTTTTGATTTTTCCTTCTTAAGTACTGGCATTATGCAACTATGTTCCACCTTGTCCACCAACAGATTATTTTTAAATGAATAATATTTTTAAAATGATTTAGTCTTCATTTCAAATGTTGTCAACATTGATAAATATAATTCACATGAGCTGTAACATTTTGGAGACCTCTGATTTAAGAGCTCTTAGGAATGTGAGATCTTTGATGTAGGCCCCTGTAGCAGGCACACCTCTTCCCATAAGCTGAGATTAATACACATACTCATAAAGTCAGAACTTTTGCTTCTATCAGTTTAAACATATATAGTCACAACTCACCCAGAGGAAATTAAAATCTCAGAGTAATTGTAATAGAAAAAATTTGATACTTAAGTATTTAAAGTGATCTTTTATTAATCTGCTATATAATTTCAATCCAAGTAAAATTAAGTTATTCACTAATCTCGGCTTCACATATTTTCCCCCTCAGAATAATCTTGAATGGAGGCAGTTTCAACATTCAAATCCATGATATGAACAGTGACTAAAAAGTACATCGGCTCCAAGTGTCTGTCTCCGCCTAAGCCCTTGTGTGGCGAGTCTGGTTAGTGGCGGTGAATACCGCACAGAGGGCAGCCGTGATGAGCAGATGCATCCCTTCGTAGAGAAGCTTTGGGGAAAACACACTCCATATGAACAAGTGATAGCGCAGAGACGTCACCAGGACAATGTACGTGGCGACTGGAACAGAGCCAATCAATGCATAGCAGAAGCAAGCCCGGCTTAGTGCTGAACCACTGTTGACAAGACAAACACATGTCATGTTTCTACTTAGAAAATAACAATGAACAATCTTGCTTCTGGCCTAGAGCACCCTGTAACTTCTCTTCTGTGAACCTGTTGGGTCACTGAACATAATGACAGCTGTGCTACAAGGGCTATAAGGAAAAGTAAGACTAGGCTGGTGAGATGGCTGTGGGTAAACGGCACTTGCTGCTAAGTCTGACAATCTGAGTTCAATCCCTAGGACTCGTATGGTAGAAGAAGGAAACTGACTCTTACAAGTTGTCTTCTGACCTATATGTGTCACACACACACACACACACACACACACACACACACACCCCAAATAAGTCAATGTAATAAAAATGAAGACCAGGAATCCTTCTTTTAAAAAGGAGAGGTAAAGCCTAATAAACTCATAAAACATAGCAAACAAGCATTTCTATAAAGAACAGAACAGCAAGTCTAATGAGAAGGGCAGCAGCTGTCCCTCAAGCTCTTAGACATACTTCTAACCTACGGGAGCCCCACTTCCTGCGGAGGTGAGCTAGTTATCACACTGGAT